ATCAGTTATCTCAAAAAATAAAAAAAGCCGGTCTACCATATCAGATAGTTTGAGAAGCACTGCTCTAATCAACTCTGAATTGGTTAATTACTTTACACTGCTTTCTTTCAGATAAACAATATGGCTTTCATTTCTCTAGCTCAGCCACTGATGTGTTAATGGTTCTTACTGAATTTGTTTATCAGGCTTTAGATGAGAATGGTGAGACTCAGGTTGTGGCTTTAAATATCTCAAAGTCATTTGACAGAGTTTGGCATGTTGGCCTACTCCACAAGCTTGAGGGATATGGTATCTCTGGCCAGATATTTGACTTAATCCAATTACTCTTAACGAATTTGGTAATGAAGGTGATATGAAACGTCCACACTCCAGGATCATTTCACATTAATGCAGGGTTTCCCCGGGGCTCTATCCTTGGACCTACGTTGTTTCTTATCTTCATCAACAACTTTCCTGATGTCATCAGTTCCATTTAGATATTTATGCTGACAGCACAATTTACTGCTGTCTTAATAATAAGCAATATGTCCAACAAAGTAAAACTGGTAGCTGCTCTTGAAAATGACTTCCGATCAGGGTTGTTATCTTCATCTTCATTGCCATATTCACAATGTTTCGGCTGTTGTAGGAAGAGAGAGAAATACTGTATTTTATAATATATAAGACAAGCAGATTGAAAATTGCTGAGTTCACTAAAACATGTTGATCTCCATTCTACCTGCTCCAAGACTAAGCGCTCAAGGGTGTTATGTGGTATATTGACTGCTGACAAGTTGCTTTTCAGCTTGTCTTTGTATCTTAGCCATGGGTGTCCTTATATTTATATATATGGATGTATGTTTAACTTTAGCAGTGGCAATCAACCTTGGTACTTCTAATTTTTACAAAACCAATAAAAGTTTAGATAGCTGTAAAATAAAATTAGTTTTGGTAATTTTTTTAATAGATTTCTCTTCCATTTGGTAAATTATAGGTAGATACCTTTACAAAATCTCTCTCTCACACACACACATGCACAAACACACTCATTCATACAAATATCTATATGTTAATTTCATTTAAGTTACTGACATGAAGTAGAAAGATCTTATTGAATCAATTGCTAGGTCTGCTGCCAAGAAAGTTGGTTCAATGTCATGCTAGACAATTTTTCTCTCCAGAATCTATCTTATATATTTACAAGTCAACCATTCATTCAGGCTTTGAATATTGCTGCTACATATGGTCTGGTACTCCTGCTATATGTTTAGAGATCTTACTTATTATAAAACGCAGATTGTGTGTGTGTGTGTGTCTGTACGTTTATATATTGGATCGGATTTCCTACATTTTTCAACCAATTTCAACAAAACTTCACAGGACTACGTAAAATTACCTTGCGGTGGTTCTGACAGTGCCAAAAAATTGGAAAAACACAATTGTTTTTGCACAAAATCAATTTGAAAACACGATTAAGAGGCTTTCATGAAAGGGGGACAACTCTTATCGAATTATACTTATTAATATCGAGTTATACTTATTATTATAAAACCCAGGTTGGTTGTGTGTGTGTGTGTTCGTTTATATATGGGATTGGATTTCCTACATTTTTCAACCGATTTCAACAAAACTTCACTTTTTTTGGGCAGGTAGTGTTTCTTATTGTCTTGCACACTTTTTTCTTTATTTTTACATTCAGAATGCTTTAAAAATTCCATTTACAAGACAATTGTTTATAATAAAATTCTATTCAATCGGTAGACTCATAACGATTGAAAACAATGTTTGACCAATTCGTAAAAAAAAAACAAAACAAAACAAAAAAAACAATAAAACTAATTAAGACATGCGTGTCTGTCAACCTTAAACAATAATCTTTGTCAATTTTATTTTTCAGTCTTTATGATGGTCGATACTTGATCTATCTCTTACTGTTACATCCCCGGGCAACGCCAGGCTCTACTGCTAGTCTTTGATAAAATGCAAAGAATTATCAGCAATATTATTGTTCCTGATCTGGCATCTTAGCTTCAGTCATTTTCCCACTGCTGTAATCTAGCTTCCTCATGTCTTTTCTATGAATACTTTCATGGTAATTGTTTGTATGAACTTTCCACTATGGTACCTAGACTTTATGAATTTAATCTCTGTATAAGATTGGCAATAAGGTCTCATTAATTTGCAGTTGAATTGGCTAAATGCAACCATAAGTTCTATGCTGACAGTTTCTTTTCTTGCATTTTTCACTTGTGAAACCCCTTCTGCCTCCATGCTTTCCATCTCCAAAAATTTAAATGCAATGTCATTCTTTATCTACTGTCTTCTTGTTTACTCTTCTTTTATTGTTCTTGCTTTTTGTTATGGGACCTTACCCATAATAACATAATGGACTATTCCATACGTAATAAATACTGCGCCTCAAGAGGAAGCAGGGAGTTCAGTCTGAAGTCTTGAGTGAAGTCCGTCAGGGTCAGGAGTCTACCAGTCAGTCAGAGCGAGCGAGTCTGTCAGTCAAGTCAGAGGCAGACCGAAACAGAGTCGCGTTCAGACAATTACTACTAAACCTGATTGTTCGTACTAACACTTTCTTCTTCTCTGTATATACTCCTGTTTGTAATATATCTGTGTTATTCCATATACGTGTTTGAGTTCTTTATTGGTTCTACTTTGGACTATCACTGTGGTACAAGGAACTGGACCATAACACTTTTTAATAAGGCTTCTCTTTTTTCTTATTTTTTCACACTTGGTAATCCATTATGTCTTAGTGACTTTACTGCCTTACTTGGGGTAAAATGATTAAAAAATCTGGTGGGTATTGTAACAATTCACCAGACTGGGTCATTAGCCTGTCATATGCTAGCCAGGTGGTGGGGCTACCACCTTTGTAGCCAATAATGTGGTGTCCTTGCTCACTGACATGGAAGGGGTGGAACTGGTGCAAGTTGGGCTGATGTGATTGTCCTTCACCAACCAGGGAAGGCCTAACTGGCTACCCACATGTATTTAGGGCAACAGGACAATGCCATTGCTTGGGGTGTGGTTGCTGTCATGCTAAATGGTTTCAAGACACCATGCAAGAAGGCTGGATGAGGTGGTAGACAATTTTCTTATTGGTTACTTAAATCCCCAAATTTTGTTGATCTTAATTTTGTGTGCATTTGTGTGTACTTGTCAGATGAATAAATTGTATATAGAATATTCATATTAATTTCTGAACATTAACAATTCCCCACTTTTTTCTGACTTTCAGTACATAATATATGAATTAAACTGAAAGGAAATTTTTGGTAAAAATAATTGCAAAATTCAGAGCTTAGCCCTGCAATCCCACTTTGAAGCATTTGACACTAGTGATGTTTGTTTATTCAATGCCCTGTAAATGACATTATACTTAATATATTAGTTTACTATCTGTGCCACCTTTTACAGATATATTTAATACATTAAATGTAACACATATTATGGGATAGAAATAGCACTATTTTACTTATTCTATCCCATAATGGTTGTAACATTGTATGTATGAAATTTGTACTGAAATAATTGCTATACAACCACTCTTCATTTAACAATTGGCTTCCATTTGAATGAGCTGGTTACTAAGTTGTACCTGTCCACTATTTCAGGCATGCTGCAATTTTTGCTGCATGTGTAATAGGTTTGAGTCAACCAGCTTCAGATAGTCTTTGCACCTTTTGTTACATTTCCTAATTTATTTCTAAATCTTTATACAGGGCAGTAGTTGACCAAAAATTTAGAAATAAACAAAAATCATCTTTATATTCTGTACAAATTAATATGGGGATTATTAAACAGGTTAAGTCATTAAGTGAGGAATGGCTGTATTTGAAAATAAAATAAAAAATAAGTTCAATGGAAATAATTTCTTGATTCAGTATATAAAACTATTAATTTTGAATGACATTTAAATAATTTAATTAAAATTTAATTGAAATTTAATAGAAATTAAATAATTTAATTGAAATTTAATCATTTTAAAAATATTTTTTAAATAGAATCAAACTTACATTTAATATTGTTTGATTGCTATATATCAATCTTCTATTTTTAGGACATTCTAACAAATAAGATTACTAAATTATTAGCCCAGAGCCAGCTCAAGGGACTGGCAACTCAGGCAGTTACATGGGATGCCATAAGGACCAAGGACATCCTCATGCCACAATATCATGTGTTTGGGATCTTCCACAATTAAAGCTTATAAAAACATACATCTGGTTGTCCATGACTCAATACATATTAAATCCTTTGGCTATTTTGTCATCAGAAAATGATCTTGTAAAGAAGATAGGTGCAGAAAGTGCTATGAAAAGATTTGCAGATCTAAAGACTAGAATAAATGTTTTTGGTAGGATAATGAATGTTTTCTTTAGCTTGTATTAAGTTGTATATTGTAATGTACTCATTATTCTACATTTTCAGTTTTTCTCCTTGTGAAAATTTAAAAAATTATACTTGTAACCCTAGAGCTGTCACTGGATATGTCTGCATGTAGTCAAGTAAGTTTTCAGTATGTTTCAGTACTGTTTTTAGTTTGACTAAAAGTAGTAAAGAAAATATACACATGTAAATAAAGGATCATCATTGCTAGAAGAGATGAAAGGAAATAGAACAAATTTCAACAAGGTGATACTTTCATGTGTTTTCATACAACAAAGTAAAAAAGAAAGAGAATACACTGGCATACAAGAAAGAAAGAAGACATTAAAATTTAGGAATTATGTGGGTGATAAACGTATGTGTGTTTCTGTGTGTGAAAATGTTCAGTCACTAAGGGAAAAAGATATCCCCATGCTCAAGACAAGATCTTGCATGATGTTACTTTTCTTGCATGTTAGAAATAAAAGAGAAACTCATTGCTTCTGTGATTGCGCATGTAATGTCTGTTTTTGGCCATGGGAATAAGCATGATATTCTAAAATCTGCAGGTACTCATACGCAATATACAATGTGACATGTGGTTTGCTGATGACAAATGATTCTCCCAGAAGTGAAACAAGGCATATTCTATCTTTAAGCTATCCAGAGATAGATAGATAGATAGATAGATAGATAGATAGAGAGAGAGAGAGAGAGAGAGAGACATTTTAGTGCCCTTTTTATATACTACTTTTGGCAATTCCATCTATCAGTTGTTTCTCCTTAGCTGTATTTAAATTTCTGCACAAAGGTATCTACCAAAATATATAAACACATTAAATGTAATTTTGAAAATTTTAATTTTTCCTTCCCCATGAAGAGTTTGATTGGACACCTTGCATTATTAAAATAAAAAAATTACTTTTCTCAAGTTTAACTATTTAGCATTCAACCTACTAAAATCCACCCCATAAATATTGACTCTCAATGTTCGACAATCTGACCTATGTATAACCTGCCATAATATAAGATGATATCAGCACAAATAACACAGAAAGTCATGCAAACAATGAGACTTTGACCACAAACAGTGCAATTTTCAGAGCCAATATTTACAGAGCGTGTTTGAGCATGTTGAATGCTAAAGGGTTAAATGTAACAAGAAAGACAAATCAACCTTTAACCTTTAACAAGTATCACCAATAATTAAAAGAAAAGATACAAATATCAAAACTATTATGAGACAGAAGTAGTATATTTTATAAGAAGCTGGAAAACATCTACAATTTAAGTGTTCTATGGGATTACCCTACTTAGCTGCCAAAGAACTTCTGCTAGATGGTGTTGCCAAAAGCAATATAAAATACTTCTTTCTATCTCTTTTTCGGTCACAAGATACCTTAGAGATAGACATGGCTTATTTCACTTGTGGGAGAGCCATTAGTCTTAAGCAAACCATAAAACCATAAGTAGCATTGAACATATAGTACACTGTTATGCATTTACTGTGATACCATACCTGACCCCTGTGGAGTTTAGCAAAAATTAAAATCTGGATGTCCTGCTTATTTCTGTGGCCCAAAGTAGACATTACATAGGCTACAGCAGTACCAATGAGAATTGCTTGTGGGAGCATGTAAAAAGTAGTAGTAGTCCACTTTCTTGCTCTTTTCTCTCTCTCTGGACATTGGTCACATGGTTAAGCCTTTTTTCATTGGTTCATCACTTAGAAAGACATTATGTTGACAGCCCTCAAAATGCAGTCCCTACAACTAGGATGTATTTCATAGTCCTGAGAAAAGACTCATAAAATTGTACATTTTAGATACAGATATTTTATACACCAACCACACTTGTGGATTTCTTTTTTATTATTTGTTTGTTAGAAATTGTTTTCTGTGTAGCTTACACTGAATGGCTTGGCTTTATTTACTTATTTATTGGTTGTATCCTGTCTTGTATGGTTTGCCTTTTTCTTGCTTTCTCTCTAAATCTGATTTCCACAGCTACTAGGATTAATGGAAGCAGTAGACAGTAACATTGCTTATTACTTTCAGGCAGCATGAGCAATATGCCTTTGTTTGAATGAAGTTTGGGGGAGTTACATTACAAAGATTTAGTTAAGCAAAAGATAATACTACAACAGCTCCCTTGGTCATTACCTGATTAACATTGTATTGTAGGCACTACTGTTACTGTAGTAGTTATATGAATTAAATAGTGCCATCACCGTGACCATTTTAGTCACTTCACAGGGTTTTTGTTTTGGCTTATTTTTTATGTGTAATTCATTACACAGTTTCTTTTTCTCTCCAGTGGTGTATTTGTTTTGAGTAATTGTTTTTCCTTTACTTTTTGAACCATCTGAGGATCATTTTGTGCCCAAAACTAATAGCTATGGTAAAGTCCATGTTTTTCAGTCTTGGTTTATTGGGGTAAGTGTTTCTTAGTCAGGCCTAGAACTTTTCAGCACATTGTATGTTTGCTATGTTAAGCCGAGTTTTACTTGTTTTGCTAGCATCTCTTAAGATTGACTATGGGAAAAGCCGATTTTGCTTCTAATTCTATGGCGGATACATATAGCAGGTTGGTTTGCCAAATTGCTGACACTTTTTTTGTCAGCCATTTTAGGATATGAGTAATATGATATTTTTTCAAGATATGTGGTAATGAAACATATCACAGGGAGTAGCGAACTTAAGCTTTCCCAAGGACATAAGCTTTCTCAGTTGAAATTTTAGCTTTGTTTGTCAATTCTGTTGCTAAGACAAATATGAATGTTTGGTTGATGACAACAACCCAATATCAATAAAATTTAACTCAGTAACAAGCATACTTCACAACTAAGAAAATAAAGCAAAAATAAGAGACATATCAGTAAAAACCTGATAAGACAAAAATCCCAAGATATCACAAAAAATGTATCAAGACATGATACTTAGAAACCACCAAAGAATACATAAAGAAAAAAATTATTTAATAATGTTTTATGAAAGACAAAAGTGCTCAGGAGACATGTTCAAATTTACCATGATAATATCTGAAGCCAATTTATTTTTTATAAATAAAAAAAATTAAACAAAAAACATTTGTTATTCTTTAACCAAATGTGCATAAATGAGAAATTGCTGCCCCAAAACTCCTCAAGTACACACAGACACACATATATTTATAGTAAACCTAGCCATTGATTTTTACATATAAAGGCCCAACATTTAAAATGGGGACTGAACTGCTAGACTACCTACACAGATGATTTGATTTTACTGATGAAGGTTTGCATACAATCAGACATACTTTTAGAGGAACTGTTAACAGAGAAATAGCATAGTGTTCCACAAATCTCCAAACAGCTGTCCTCAGCTATGAATTCAAAATTTTCCTTATTTTAAATGCAATGCTACCCAGGGCAAGAGAACTCAGTCTGCCCTGCTATTTAACCCATAGCTGGAGGAAAATGGATCTGTGCCTTTTTCAAAGGGCAAAGTAAATGAAACAGAATCACCCAGAACTTGAAACTTGACCAGCAATTCAATTTTCTTCACTGATAACCATTACACTAACTGCACAGTCAATATATATATATATATATATATATATATATATATATATATATATATAGATAGATAGATAGATAGATAGATAGATAGATAGATAGATAGCCATCTACCCAATTTCCCTCAGAATGCTTGGGTTAACCCATGGTTTAACTTTCAGGCAATTTCTAAAGTATGACCTCTCCATACTGATATTATTAAGAAGTTACCTTCCTTACATATCGACTATGGGGAGATTCAAATATCGGTCTCATAGCCAGAAAGCAAATGTTCTGACAACTCGACCATCAATGTTTGTGCTGTCACAAAGTCATAAGTTATTATGACCGAGGGTTTGTGTGTGCTGACCTTGTTAAAAAAAATTGATCACACCAGATTATGCACTTTCTGCCAGACACTGTAACTAAAGTCCACTCAGTATAGTTGCAGTATAAACCATGGGTTGGCTCTGTGGGTTGAACAGGTGTCTGTAGTAGGGATTTCTAGCTGCCCTGGTAGATGGGTGTAGTCAGAAAATGAGTAACTGGGCATTATATATATATATATATATATATATATATATATATATATATATATATATATATATATATATTTATTAAAGACATTACCATTCGGCTACAAAGAATCGATTCGGGTAGACAAGGTCAATTTACTGCTTATAAACTTCAATCTTCCATGAATCTAAGTACATTATGTCAGCGTAAATGACGGTTCCATTATAGGATGCAGGTTCGAATCCTGTCAAAGAACGAATATTTTCTATGAAAATTTCTCGACATTCAGGCCGGTAAATGTTATTTAATACTGTTTATCATAAACAGAGCATTTGCTTAAATACTTGTATGTATAAATAACAACGTTAAACATAAAAAAAATGTCTTTAATAAATAAATTGTTTGACCTTGTCCATTTCTTAATATATATATATATATATATATATATATATATATATATATATATATATATATATATATGAGAGAGACATCTCCCCTAGGAAAAGCAAAATTTTGATTTAAAACATGTGATCACTTCAGCACCTGACCAGTACAGGCTATGCAGTTTTGATGGAGGTAGTGTGCATTGTGTTGCACAAGCAATAATCATAATAAACAAGTCATGTGCAGGTTGTTCAATAAACACTACCAAAATTACTGGGAATGCAAATCAGAGCAAAGGAGCTGCTGCCTGTCCTGCTTCTCATCTATACAAGGGTTTGAGCAAGGCCGACTTGAACATCAGGATCAACTGCATTCAAATATTAAAGAAAGTTGGCATGCTGGTCCCCCCAATGACAGCCTTACCTGTCACTGTGGCTTTGTCACATGCAGTAAAGCAGGCCTTGCTGTCCACTCATAGAAACATGTGGCAGTTGATCTTCAGCCACACAATTAAAATGACCCAAACACATGATCTATCTGTCTAAAAGTTTGCAAAACACCTGCAGGCTGTGGGACACACATATGTGGTCATAAAAATTGAGCACCTCATTATTTTATTAAGCCCTCATTTGTCATCCATGATGAGAGAGTTCACCATTTATATATATATATATATATATATATATATATATATATATATATGCTGAGTCATTACCCAAAATTTGAATGAATGATCAGTTATCAGATTTTATGGGAATATCTCTTCCTGTTCAGGCCCAAACTGACCTTTTCAACAGAACCTCATATATATATATATATATATATATATATATATATAACATATCCACTTGCTTATATATGTCACTGCATATGTGTGCATATAGCAGACAATGTATAGAGTGTAAGAGTTATTTGATGTTATACTCTGTTTTCAAATTAGTCCTCTTTCTCATTTACTCCACACCAAAAACTGTCAGATGGATGTAAATTCTATGAAGACAAAATAAAAATGTAGTTCTCTACACTGGGGCTCTGAGCATCACAGTCAACTCATAAAACAAATCCTAAAAATATAAAATAAAATATAAATGTTGGAGACAATCATAAGTGTTGCCACTAAATCATGACAAAAATGCAGAGTCATGTATCTGCTCTAACTGCTTAAAATGACCCACTTACTTATATTCAAAGCACTAGGCAGGCAGTCAAAGAGTCCACCAGTTGCCTCCTTGCTGTCAATACAGATAATTTTATTTTAACATATCTTGTCTTTTCTTTCCGTCTCACCAGCA